CAGCTACAGCAAAGAAAGTAACTTTCGACCCTTCCGTCCGAATGAAGAGCGTTACCCTCGAGGGGGATGTTTACGATCCTTCCGGTACTCTATCTGGTGGTAGTGCACCGAACTCAAGTGGTGTCCTTCTCATTCTACAGAAGCTGAACGGAATTATGCTGGAACTAAGGGCTAATGAGAAGGCACTTACCGTACTTCAAGCAACAATGGCCCGGGAAAAGAAGAAAATGGATGCCGCACGCTTAACAAAACAAGAGTTTGACCTCAAAATCCACGAAATCAAGCTTACTGAAGATCAGATCAACGGGAATTCCTCGTCATCCGTACGTAATCTTGCGATGCAGGCATGGAATGCACGTAACTAATTTCACTTTTTAGATTATTCATGGTGTCGAAGAAATGAAGACGAATATAGAACAGCTAAGGAAGGACGTTGCGGATGCCAAAGCTCGCCATGCAGAAGCGCTGAAAGATATCAAGAGGATCGAAAAGGACATGAAAGAATTTAGCAGCAATAAGGATAGTAAGTTGGCGGAGCTTCAGGCTTCCTTGGACTCCTTAAAAAAGGGATTCAGTAAAAATTCTATTGCAGTCAAAACACTACAGAAGGAACTACAGGCATCGCGACTCGACTCTGAGCAAGCTGGGACCGATTTGACCACAGCAGAGGAACAGTTAGCTGAAGCAGACCAAGCACTAAAGGCTCAAACGGAAGAAATGCAAGAGATCGAATCGCAGCAAGGACGCTTGAAGGTACACAATTTCCCCATTATAATCCAGGTAAGATAGAAATAAATGACTCACAACTTGGGATAGGACAAACATGATATGGCCCAGGCACAACTGGAGGATGAGCAAGCGAAGCTCACCAGATTTGATGATGAACTCAGAGAGCTAGAACAAACACAGCGATCAAAATCAGCTCGAATAACCGAAGAGGCTCTGGAGCTACAGAAGCTTGGCCACAAACTTGAAAAGCTCGACAAGGACCAGCAGAACGCAGAACAGATGGTTTTGAGCATGGAAAACGAGTATGATTGGATTGAAGAAGAGAAAGACAGTTTCGGTCGACCAAATACGCCATACGATTTCAAGAACCAAAACATTGCGGAGTGCAAGGCATCTCTACGTAATGTTACAGAACGATTCCAAGGCATGAAGAAAAAAATTAACCCCAAAGTCATGAATATGATTGATAGTGTTGAAAAGAAAGAGGCATCACTCAAGAATATGATGAAAACCGTCATTAGGGACAAACGAAAAATCGAAGAAACCATCATTACCCTCGACCAGTATAAGAAGGAAGCGCTGCAAAAGACCTGGTCTAAAGTGACAGGCGACTTTGGACAGATTTTTGCCGAGTTGCTTCCAGGCAGCTTTGCTAAGTTAGATCCACCCGAAGGAAAGGAGATCACTGATGGGCTAGAGGTGAAGGTCAGCTTAGGAAAAGTGTGGAAGCAAAGCCTGGCAGAACTAAGTGGTGGCCAAAGGTACGCCTGGCAGTTTGTTTCATAAAAATTATTTTCGAATGTGCTAACTTTGGTATGTGCTGTTCAGGTCTCTCATCGCACTATCCCTGATAATGGCCTTGTTGCAATTTAAACCTGCACCCATGTATATCCTCGACGAAGTCGATGCTGCGCTTGATTTGTCCCACACTCAAAACATTGGTCGCTTAATCAAGACGCGCTTCAAGGGCTCACAGTTCATCGTCGTCAGTCTGAAAGACGGCATGTTCCAGAACGCGAACAGGATATTCCGGACGAGATTCAGCGAGGGAACCAGCGTGGTCCAGGCACTGACGCCGGCGGACTTGAAATAACAAGCTAATTATCCTTCATAATTTCTTTTTTCGTGATTTTTGTTCCTGGGAAGATTGATTACTGGCTGGCTTTTGGTTGCTTTGGGAGCTTGGTGGGTTTAGCATCTTATTGGCGGCATAGGGATATATATCTACATAACTTCTAGTCTAGGTGTTTTTGGTTCAATGTGGGATAAAATCCAGTATGTCTGGTTAAATAATAGGAGCATTCTAAATTCTTTGTAGTTCGGAAATCAATCATTGCTAATGGATATTTTTTTCGTTCGGAATGCTGGTTTTGGGTCTGGAATGCGTTCGTCCCAAACAATCGCGGCTACAAACCAATTTAATAGTTCTCCGCCACCAGAACAACTTCTCCACGCTCACTTACATACATCTCTCCCACCCTGGAAACTGGTAATCTTCCTCATTATTTTATATATTCACAGAGAGTTCCGTTTTCCATACCTTCAGAAGTGTTCTCTCTCTCTTTTTTTTCAGATCTTCCAACTATTTTGTTTCTCTCACCCGAAATCGCCCACCTAGGAACAGCTCAGCCCTGGGATTCTCCTTAGGGAGAGCGAATTTTGAATTTATTTTCTCAAACCTGATTCGCAGAAGAATAATATCTGTTTACTCTCTATATTCCACATGGCTGAGTCCGAACCGTCAATCAGCATCCCTTCTCTCCTCACCCTCGCCGTCGTTTCCTTTTTCGTTCTTCGGTGGCTTCTATCGTCTCGCACATCGTCATCAAACGGATCAAATGGACGCACCAGGGGGGGAGGAGGCCGGAGAATCGATCCTGCGCAGCTGGAGCAGATATCGCAGATGTTCCCGCAACTAAGTCGGAGAGATATCGTATGGGATTTACAACGGAACGGTGGAAGTGCCGCCGCGACAACTGAGAGGATTTTAACAGGCAGAGGGTTGGAAACCGTGAGTTGCGTCCCAAATCACCCTGCATTATATATCTATCGTTTGCCGAATGAATTAGCTAGCTAACTTGACTTGATTGCATAGCCACCCCCGTCCTTCCAGCCCCAGCTCCCTAGTGCTCCAAACCAGAGGAATGGAGTCTCTCGTTCTTCAACTGCTCAGGCGGCTCCGAAAGTAGCAGCGGAGGACCTTATTAGTCGATATAATCTTAAATCAAGGCTAAACGAGGAGTTGTCGGTGACAGGAGCTGCTTCTCCCGACTCAACAATCATACACCAGGAGAGTGCGTGGTCGAGGGATAAAGCGGAACGACAGCGACTTCTCCAGAAACGACGGGATGATATGATTCTGGCTGCGCGGAGAAAAATGCTGGAGAAAGATCGGGCTAAGCAGCAAGTATAGCAGGCCTGATCACACCCTCCCCTTTTGTTTTCTTGCGTGAGGAGGATATACGTTGTAATTATTACCTAGCGATATTGGGAGCGTTGGCATCTTTTAAACCTTGGAACATTGTATCAATTAGGTCCATTTTCAAGAGAGTGTAAATTGTTACTATGGCTAAGGTATAATAGTCGAATACAACTAATAATTTAGTAATATATCATATTTGATAGTATACTTTAAGATCCGATCGATAGGAATAGAGCGATTGGTCGTATGTTCATACAAAATCCCTCACTAGTCCAATATATATTTCGAAATCTATATCGTGGACAGGGGGGAAAGTAAGGCCCCGAGTAGTGGCGTTGAATTGGTTGGTTCGAGAATGTGATTCGGTGTTCCATGCTTCTTCCAACTCGCGGTCGTGATGGTATGGGGAGCAATTCGCAGTCCGTTAGTACTTATAATTGACACAACAAAGTAATTGTGCAATGACTCGCTCTAGTACCTGCTAAATTGCTTATTGCTCGGTATCACAGGGCGGTGACTATATGCCGGGCGAGAAATATCGCAGGGCCAAAGATGGGAGAGCAACTCCTTAAAATCACTGTGCTCATTGCATCTAGATGATAAGCCGAAGTAAAGAAAGTTATAACAACTTATTCCTCCATGTCGTCATAGTCGTTTGCTTGATTAAATTGGATATCTTCACCCTGCTCTTCTGCCTGTTCTCGCAGCGTTTCTTCTTTCGATGCTCCAATCTGTCTGTGGGCCCAAGATTAGCTAGGCTCAATGAATCGAATTGGAGGTGATAAAACAAACCTTAAAACTTCTGCGGCGCCAGCAATAAATCCTCGCGCCTGACCGATTTCCATTGCACCAACACCGTTCAGGACCAAGCCGTCTCCTCCACCCACAGCCGTTGCGTCAAGGCCTTCCATCATATAACGCATCTTCGCCATCCGAACTTCACGAATATCCCTTATGAGACGGCGTATTTGATCTGAATCCACGATATCATCACTTGCAGCATCCAGTAGCTTTGTAGCTAATTCTAGCCAATGGTACGGTAACGATTCCATGTCATTTGTATTCAAATCATTGTCGACCGCGCTCTGTAGTAAAAATGGAGGCGACGGGGTATATATTCGGCCGTCTATTGTGCGACGAGATTGAATGCCGGACCTACCACGGGCCAATCGCCCCGTACTGCCGCCTTGTGCTGGAGCTGAAAGGGAAGGGGGGTGGGAGAATTGGCTCGATTCGGCTGTCTCAAGCTCTAGAATTGAGGAGAGCGACTGCACTGTCAGCCATAATGGAGCTAGGATATTGGCACGACGCTGTCGTTTTAATAGAATGGCAAGCCAGAGGGGAAGCATGGTTCGTCGTGGAGGTACGAGGGTCTCGGTAGGTCCCTGAGAGGAGTGTTTTGTTAGCAACTAGCCATGGCAAACCCCAGAAAGAATCGCACTAGAGAGCTACTGACTGGCGACTCTATATGATAGCGGTACTCCTCACTGGCAAAGCTCAAGACGTGAAAATTTACCACTTACCCCGAGGAGTTGAAGGCTCTCCAAGCGCTGTCTGGGGATAATTGTTACCATTTCCATTTCGCATAAAAACAAAATTTCTGCAGGGTTTATACCCCGAGGTAGAGGAAAAGCCATCGACGCGGCGATGTTAATCTTCCTTCGGCAGTAAGTACTCCGTGTAATTGCATATCGCGAACTAAATAAATCGTCAAGAGTATCTACGAATATTAGTTTCAAAGGTTGTTTAACCAATTGAGCTTTTGGTGGGATGAACGGGGGCTTAGTCAGCTGGTTTTATCTTGTAGAAAAGAGAGAGAAAAAAAAAAAAAAAAAAAAGGATAAATTATAGCCCAATGCGGGGCTTGAACCCGCAGCCTTAAGATTAAGAGTCTTACGCTGTTGGAGAATGTTAGAAGTGATTTTTCAACTTGAAATTGAACTGGAATTAAACGTACCTCTACCGATTGAGCTAACCGGGCTGGTTGATGGCGTTTTCCCCCCAGCCAGCCATAGAAGAAGACATCCCCCACAATACATCTACATTCTCTAATCAATCGATCAAATATATCAAGGAATCATATTATTAATTTACTGAATGCTGACTATAAAGATCCTACTGGTGATATGGTGCTAATTATCGCATAACTGCTGTGTAGTTTTGGCAGCACTTTCGAATGTTATAGTTAACTAAGTTAACGTTAATTGTGCCCTTCCCTGAGTCAGCATAGATAACTTTAATCTAAGCTTCCAACTACCCTACCCGTAGATAACTACCAATAACTAATAAACAGTGGAATCAACATATATATTGAACAGCTACCATTCTCTTTAATTAAGACAATGATTCGTTGAGATCATATCACATTATCCAGTCATGGCATTTACGAGGGACTTACTCGCCTACTCCATGTGTACGGCATTCCTTATCATGGCGATGGGTATTTGGCTACTTAAAACCAAGGCCATCTTGCCAGATCCTTATTTAGATGAGGTTTTTCATGTCCGGCAAGCCCAGGCATATTGGAATCACCAGTGGCTCCAATGGGATCCGAAAATAACTACTCCGCCAGGGCTATACCTGATTTCCTATGTACTCGGGTTGGTGCCCCATTTGGTGTTTAAGTGGCCTATGGATATGCGAACATCTACGCTGCGAAACATAAATGGTCTCGTTTTGTTCACTTGTCTCCAAATATTTTTGAACAGTTCTACATTTTATGAAAATCGAAGTCGGCTTGGCCTAACGCGGACGCTAAACGCTGCCCAGAATATTCGGAAGCCGTCTGCGTGGCACTTGAACCTTACCATGCTGAATATCTGTCTCTTCCCGCCGGTGTTTTTCTTCTCTGGTCTTTACTATACCGATTTAGCCGCTCTCCTTGCTGTATTGGCTGCTTACATGGTTGATTTGGAACGCTATTCAATACTTGAACGTGAGGAGAGAAATAATCAATCGTCAGCAGCTTTAGACCCCGGGCTCGTCTCGGTGAAACCCCTTTTATTCCTGACCTTGGGTCTAGCAGCCCTTGTATTTCGGCAAACCAACATCTTTTGGGTAGCTGTTTTCTTGGGTGGGTTGCGCGTTGTACGAAATTTACCGTCGACACAAACTGGTGCAAATGGCACCTCGGAATTTTGGCAAATTCTCAAAAACAGTTGGGAATTGGGGCAACTTTATGATCCGCCCGTTGAAGACGCATACATCGAAGGTGATAACCATCCTAAGACCTTCAACTTTTTTATATTATTCATATATTCAATTCAATTACGGGAATGCTGATTTTATTTCTGAACAATGTGTATTTCTATAGATTTTTTAAAGGTTGGGATTTCGTTAGGAATCGCCGCATTGGCGAATATAATAGATATTTTGAGAGTGCTAGTACCATATGTTATCATTCTTGCATCCTTTGGGCTCTTTGTAATAATCAATGGAAGTGTTGTACTAGGTATGTTCCACCCAAAGATCAAGTAAATGAGATATGGAATTAATTGTTTCTAATGTCATGATCTGTATTTCCGTATAGGCCACAAAGAATTCCACAGCGCTGGTTTACATCTCCCCCAAATGCTATACATCTGGGCATATTTCATGTTCTTCTCCTGGCCAATAATATTACTCCCATGGGCGTTTGATATTTGGAGTTATGCAAGGAAACCAACCCCAGCCAAAGCCAGTCTCCTGACAAGCAGGTTCCCTCGATTGGGCCTGATTGTAGGGATTTTGAGTATAATGCTCGCCATTATCAATTTCAATACCATCGTCCATCCGTTCACACTGGCTGATAACCGTCATTATGTGTTTTATGTGTTTCGAATCATCCGTCGGCACCCAATGATAAAATTCGCGGTCGCCCCAATCTATATTTTGTGTAGTTGGGCGGTTCTCGGCGCTTTTGGCCGTCATCCAATTGCCGATCTTCCAGAATCATCCCCGATGCTCTCAAAGAAATCATCAAAAACAAACTCAAACCCCACAAAGGTTTCGCCTCCAACTTCAATCTCTGGAGAGCACCCAACAGCAACAGCAGCAACCGAAAAGGTGAAGACAAGCTTTGTCCTGGTCTGGCTTATATCGACAACACTCTCGTTGATTACCGCACCGCTCGTGGAACCGCGTTATTTTATTATCCCTTGGGTCATCTGGCGGCTTCATGTCCCACCGTTCGGTTCTATCGCTGGCAATGCGGCACGAGGCCAGAATAGTGCTTCGAGCATCACACCAACGGTTTCCAGGTATGCACCGTTACTGGTTGAGATGGGTTGGTACTTGGCTATAAATCTGGTGACGTGTTATATATTTTTATACAAGGGGTTCGAGTGGCCTCAGGAACCTGGGAAGGTTCAGCGGTTTATGTGGTAGCTGATTACGGCATGTTAAATTGATAGATATTAGAGTCCTATATCTGCTCCAGATAACGCCTCCAGTGTATAACCCCCCATGTAATAATAGCAAAATAAGAATAGGGTATAAAACCAGATGCAAATAATAGTAAAATGAAATAGGGTATAAAATCCGAACTATGGGTTTGTCGCATTTGCTTTCTGGCTCACAGGCAAATATACTTTTTCGAAGATTTTCTGGATCGGTTTCGCGGCCTAAGAAAACGAAAAGTCAGTTTTAACTATAACCAATATGAAAACTGGCCGATAATATAGCTACTCACATCGATGAACCGTTCCAAATCTTGATCTAAGCTGGCTAAATCTTCCTTCCTCTTTTTATTTTCGGCAATAAGTGCCTGCTTTCGTTTGAGCAACTCCTGGCGAGCTTGCTCTAGCTTCTCTCGTTCGCTATGCTCGTGACTTATTCGGGCAACCATGAGCTGGTGTAGGTCACTTTCGGCATGCTCAGGGTAGAGGGCAACAAAGTCCTCGATGGGTAGTAATGGTAGGGATAAGTGGCTATGGCTATAGTACGCAGAGATGAGTTTTTAGTAACACAATCCCGGAAAGTTTTTTAAAAAAAATATTCTTATTGGACCTTACTCATATGATTCGCATGCAGAAATTTCTCCGTTTAGATGTCTCTGCTCGTAATATAGATTCTGCAGGTGTAAATGAAGCCTGTCTATTTCTTGACGAGCTTCGGCAGTTTTTTGCTTGGTCTCTCTGACATTTAAGATCGCATCCCGATTGAGTCCCCGCAAATGAGCGAGCAAGGAATACACATGCCTCTGCTGTCTAGATAATTCTTGATGGGCTGGCTGAGAGGGACCGGCTCGAATGGTCTCTTCTAATAGGTTGATGAGTTCATGGCATTTGTTGAGGGCTTCCGCGCCGACTTGCAGAGCCGGAAGAAGGGACGGGTCGCAGACGATATTGTCGACGGCCATGGATGCGACTGGAAACCGTAAGATAGCTGGGTTCTCTGAAGATTCAGCAAGAGTTGATCATTGAAATGAGAGTTGATCAATCAAAGCATTGACAGTTGAGTGTTTGAAGGTCTGACTAAGCAGCATCAAAAGGCTCGGCACCGGCAATATATTTATCCACCGCCCTTTTTCACTTTAATTTTTGTTGGGCGGTAAAAATTGGTATTTTACCAGACTTTACCGAACAAGCGCCAACAGACCCGGCTAAAACCCATTATCACACCTTACCAATACAGAACATCGATACAAACATGTATTGGAGGAAGCTGAGAAGCTGAAGAGAGAGGATTCATCTCACTGTGAATATATCTACCAGGAGATGCGCTGGCACTGGCATTGAGATTGAGATAGATTTGAATATCCATATTACGCGGATAGAGTTACTTTGCTTGATGCCCGACGCCAAGTCACTATTCAGTTCAACGGTCCACATTTTGGTGTATGGTTCCTCTGGTTCTGTTGCCTCTCCCCCATTCCCGTTCAGGCACGGGGCCCTCCATAACTCGCTAGTTACTCGCTATTATCCCGGTTCCTCGCCGACCTGGAGAGAAAAAAAATCCTCTTTCTGTTTTCCTTCCGTTAGCATGTTGTTCTGCTTGAGATGAGCTTGTGTGCTGGGAGGCAGCCTCATCCCGGTTGTTCGTCGGTCTCAATCGTTCGCTAATAGCTCCTGACCCTGACCGCGCGAATTCATAAATACAAATAGAATCACTCATCTGTTCGCTCCTGGTGGGGTCCTTCTCGTCCACTGACATCCCCCCAACATGTCGTGCGCATCTTCCTCGATAACGGTGGAAGGGCATATACACCTAACTTCTCCCTCCTCCAAGTCGTTCCTTTCTCCCTCCAGCGACTTGTCAGACTTTGTTCGGAATCGAAGACGAAGACATTCATTCCATAATACATCTCGGCAGCTTTCCTGTGATTACGGTGAAGATGCCATATTCCTCAAGGTACGTTAATACAATATCCAAACTTATCGCTATGTTCCTAACGTTCTTAAGGTTGAACTGTTCCTTGCCGAGCTCGAACGACGATTACAATGGCTGGAGGATTATCGTCAATCCCACATGTTTGATGTGGATTCTGGGTTGAAGAGAGCATATACTGCCCTAGTTGCGGTCCGCGATTCCTGCTCACATGCCTCTGGTGAGCTGATGGGCGGAGGCAAACGTCGAGCCAGGATTGTTGTCGATACCCTAGAAGGTCGCTTCAATGAAGCCCTCGCTACGAAGGAAACTCTCGAACAAAAAGCCCAGGCCAGTATGCGGCTAATGGAGGACTTTCTTTCTGATCTTGAATCCAGTGTGCATGCGGTTAGGGATCGTGGACTGTATAGTGCCATCGATGAGGGTCTACGCGCTATGGATTCTGGTCTAAGCCATGCTCGCTCCATGATTGACGAGGGAATAGAACGTGCAGCACACGCGAAATATGCCCTCCGCGAAAGCATAGAGAGAGCCATCATTCTTGCCCAAGAACAACGACTTATTCACTACTCCGATCTCCCCCATCCTTGGAGGATAAACCCCCACATCCTGAAAGGATATCGCTTTTCGTCAACAAAAGTGGAGTGTGTCACCTCCGTATTTAGCTTTTCGAAC